ATGCGCGCGTGTTTGCTTGTGTGCTAGCGTGTGCAATCCCGTGTGTGGAATGATATTCGTGTGGAGCCTTACGTGTGTGAAGCGTCACGCGTGGAACGAGCGCGTTCTGTGGTCGCTTGGAGCGGGGGGGGCGGTTTGGAACCGCCCCCCCCTGGATGGAGGCGGGGGGGGGATTCGAACTCCCCCCCCTCCCGTGACGGACGGGGGGGAGTTTCGAACTTCCCCCCCTCCCCTACTTCTCCACCATCCCTCTCCTCGGGCCGGCGCCGGCGGCGGCTGGCGGCGGCGGCGGGGGTGCTGGTGGTGGTGGTGGTAGTGGCGGTAGTGGTGGTGGTGGTGAGGTGGTTTGTGGTGGTTGTGGTGGTGGTGGGTTGTGCTGCTGGTAGAAGTGGTGGTAGTTGTGGCGGTGGTTGTGGTGGTGTGGTAGATTGTGGTGGTGGTGGTGGTCGTGGTGGTGGGTTGTTGTCTTGGTGGTGGTGGTGGTGATGAGCTGTTGTGGTGGTGGTGGTTGTGGCTGTGGTGGTGGTGCTTGTGTGGTGGTTTGGTGGTGGTGGTGGGTTGAGGTGGTGATGGTGGTGGTCGTGGTGGTGGCGGTGGTTGTGGTGGCGTGGTGTTTTGTGGTGGTGGTGGTGGGCTGTGGTTTGTGGTGGTGGTGGTGCTGCTGCTCGTCGGGGTGCTGGTGGTGGGTGGTGGGTGGTGGGTGGTGGGTGGTGGGTGGTGGGTGGTGGTGGTGGTTGTGGTGGTGGTTGTGGTGGTGGTGGTGTGGTGGTTTGTGCTTGTGGTGTTGGTGGTGGGTTGTGGTGATTGTGGTGGTGATGGCTGTGGTGGTGATGGTGGTGGTAATGGGGTGGTGGTTTGTAGTGGTGGTGGTTGTGGTGGGTTGTGGTGGTGCTGTGGTGGTAGCGTTTTTGGTAGTGGTGGTGGTGAGGTGGTTTGTGGTGATGATGGTTGTTGTGGCGATGAAGGGTTGTGGTGGTAATGGTGGTGGTGTGGTGGTTGCGGTGGTGGTGGTGGTGGTGGTGGTGGTATGGCTGTCTGTGTGGTGGTGGTGGTGGTGGTGTGGCCTTCGGCTCTTCTCCCAGTGTGTTTTAGCCTGGGGTCAGAATTCTAATGGATGCCTCTTGAAGTCTCGACAGCAGGGTCTCGGGGGCGTCTGAGAAGCATGCGAGGGCTCGATCTGGCGATTTGTGTGTGTGTGTGTGTTCTCTCTGCGGCCCCTGGGCCCTCTCTGGTCATTGTCGCTGCGTCCCCGCCGTCGGCGCTGCTGGCCGCCGCCAGCGCCTCCTGGGCCTTCTCTGGTGATCGTCGCTGCGTTGGCGCTGCGGCGGCCGCCGGCGCCGGCGCCGGCGCCCGGGGATGGCGGTGGGTTTGTAACCCCCCCCCTCGGGAGGGGGGGGGGGGGGGGTCGGGGGGGGGGGGGTTAGGGGGAGGGGAGTCCCCGTGGTTCTGATCGACGGCGCCGAGTGTGGGGGGGGGAACCCCCCGCTTCGAAATGCGCCGCCGAATCTTCCCAAGGTAAGCGCCCGTGAAACGCGCTCTCTCCACGCGTGGAATCATATATGTGTGTGGGTCTCCATGGTTGTGGAACCCTACCTGAGTGCCAGCAAGGGGCCACCCTCCGAGAATCTGTTGAACCCCGTGCCTGGAGCCCGATGTTCGATCCTCGTTGGAGGTTGGCGGTGCGTATTAGCAGCGGGGTGAGGGAGGTGTTCTAGGCACGGAGCTTCTTACAACCCAGCCGCCCTCCAAGAAACTTTGATGGAAGCCTCCGATCCCTTCTAAGAAGCCCCCATGTGTGTGTGTGCGCGTGGAACACACCCACTGTTCGGAGCAAGTGCCAGTGGAAGGCGATTCGGGCCAGATGCGCGACATGTTGGTCACGATTGAGCAAGAGCTTTCCAGATCGGAGCGCAGATGCTCTTGGCAATCTCATCAACAATCTCTTTCACGCACACCGGCACATTCCGACACATCCCGACACACACACACACACACCGACACACCGACACACACGCAACCACACGCAAACACACACACACACACCGACACTCACACAAACACACACACAAACACAAACATACACAAACACAACATACGCACGCACACACACAGACACACACACACACACACGCACGCACACACACACACACACACACGCACACACGCACACATGCCACACACACTCAAACCCCCCCCCCCCACACACACACACACACATCCGCACACCCACACCCACACCCACAGGCACTTACGCACGCACGCGCGCGCACGCACACGCACACGCACACACACAACACACAACACAAAACACACACACACACAGACACACACACACACACAGAACACGCACGCACACAACACAACACAGAGTAGATAATCACAGATTATAGCGAACAAGTCAACAATGTCACCCGTCGAGATATTTGGGGAGCCTCCTGTTGGCCTTGTTGGAACCTTGCTGGAATTGTGCCGGACCCTATACGGGGCCTTCGAGACGCTCTTGGGGCCCTCTTCGGGTGTTTTGGGGCCTCAGTGGAGCAATCCTGGAGGCCATCGATGAAAAGATTGGGAGCCCTCGGTTCCAGCCCCTCCCCCTTGGAACCCGGGAAGTTGTCTCCCCTGGCCCTTTTGGGTCGCACTTGGGGTGCTCTCGAGCCTTCAGGGACACCTTTGGGGGGGGCTCCTCTAGGGGCTCTCTTGGGGCGATGGGTGAGCCATCTTGTGGCCTCATACGCCCATCGGAATCCAAATGGCGAGAAGGGACACACAATTTGAAATACATTTGGGAGCCTCATTGGCCACTTGAAGCCCTCGTTGGCGACCTTGGCGCTTACAGGAGGCATGCTGGAGGCCGTGTTGTGCCATCTTTGGGGCCTTCTTGGGTTACTTGAGGTTTTTTTGAGCCACTTTGGGCCAACAGATAATCATCTGACCGCTCGCGTCCCCCCCCGTCGGAGCTGAGGAGGGGTGTGGGGATGATTTCAACTTCTGGCGGCAAAGCCACAGGCCGTCTCGCTCAGTCCGTCCTGGCTCATCCAGCTCATCATTCTTGAGATTGCCACCCGCATGAACAAATTGCGCCGCTGCCATCCAGGCCCGGGTAACACAGCATGCTCGACAGAAGCGGGGATGCGATTTGTGAATTACTGGCTCGCGACAAGCGTCGATCCTCCGGCCAGTCGGCTGCAGCGGGGATGCGATTTCTCAATCTCTTGCGCCCCCCATGAGGATCCTCTGATCTACGCTGGCGAGAGCCGCCTGGCCATCTGGCGCAACGGCAGGCCGTTTCAGTGCAAGTGCTGTTCGCTTAAGCGTATCATTGGCAACATGTACGGTTCATTGTTTAAAAGATAAGATAGCCGCTGGTGCGCCGCTGGCGCAATCCGGAGAAAGCAGTCGGAATAGTTACATTGTGCTGTATCTGATGCCGACGAATCGTTGAAGCCGTGGTTTCACGATGCAGGGACATCGAGATATCAATGGTGTCATGCTTTAGCCGTCTGGTAGTTTATGTATGGGAGCAGTCACGGACTGCGCTTATATGCCGGCGGAGCGCGTTACCTATGGTTAATGGTTCCTCAAGAAGCAGTCCCTATCGCGTGGCATCCGGAATCGTGTTTTCCCGTTAATTGAAGGTGGCTCTTGCGAAACTGGACGCCGTGGGTAACTGTGGAACATGCGAAGCGGTAGTGGTTTCATATGATTCATTCTTGGATTACTCTTAGTTTGCTATTTGGTTTGTTTTGACGCCGTTTTCCCAGCCACATTGAGGCTTGCTGGGCATCTCCAGATGGTTCCGAAACGGCCCAGGGGAGGCCCCGAGGACCCCGCGAGGGCAGTTTCAGAATTGCTCCACTCTGGTCGGCTCTTGGGGCCCGCTTGGGGCGCGCATGGGCCCCCTCAAAGGGGCCCTTGGGAACTTCGAGGTGGCTCGAAGACAGCCCCGAGGCAGCCCGTCCAGCAAACCACAATTGGGCATCTGAAAACTCCGTTGGCCATGCTCCAGTTAAGTTGGCTTCTGGGGCCGTCTAAGCGCCCTTTGATCCCTCCTTCGGGCTTCCCGGGGACTTCCGGATGGCCCCGAACAGGGACCCAGCAGAGGCTCCAATGGGCCCCGCGGGCAAGCCAAAGCAGAGCAGTTGAAACGGCCAGTTCACATGTTCCACTCCGGTTGGCTCTGGAGGCGTCTCAGGATCTTTTCTGGCGCCCTGGAGGTTTTCAGGGGGCTTCAAAGTGGCCCCGAAAAGGGCCCTTGAGTCGGCCGGATAGCGAGCCCGGGTGGAGCATCTGAAAACAATTGTTTCAAATGTTCGATTTTGGTTGGCCTTTTGCGCCGTATCTGGCCCACCATATCGGGCTTCCTCTGGCCCGAGACATCACGCTGTCGGCGCAGGTTGCGTTCGAGGCACTCATTGATGTGGAATGTCTCGTGCGCAATCATGAACTGGCGCTGTCTTCTGACTCGGGCCGAGGTGCGCGTCGCGCGAGCAAACGCGCGACGATGCTCAATCAGGGTGTCCCGTGGGCGCGATCGTGCGAACGCGTGTTTTACATATTGATTCGCGCTGCAGTCACGTATTTCGTTAAGGGCGCCACGTATGATAATTTTATGTGGCGTGCCCCGGCGTGGATTCCACCATCTGTTCTCAATATATTCGTTCACCGAGGTTTCATTGCGTATCCAAGTCATCTCACATTCTCCACAAACCCGAAATTTAAATTCGGATGAGGAGGGTTTGATTCGGGGAATCCTGCTTGCAGCGGTGTCCCCGAGCGGTTTTCCTAGAGCTTGCGTTCCTGGGGTATGGCGGAGATCGCCGAATGGTTGCAGCCGCGCCGGCTTCATGCTCGCCCTGTTGATGAGGGGCAGCTTGAGGAGGCTGCCGCAGCGCGGGCAGTGGACACGGCGATGATGGATGCGACCTTCGCCGCGGAGATGGCGCCCGTCGCCGTGGAGGCGGCGATGGCATTGACAGCGGCAGTGGGGGCTCCTTGGGTGGATGCCGCTATCCGTGATCGGCTGGCCTGCTGCGCGAAGTGCCGCGGACTCTCGGTGGCATTGTGGCCGATGCCGATGCTCAGGTGGGTCGGCTTCCACTGGTACCTGCGTTCCCTGCCCTTCGCAGTGCCGCGCGCTGGAGCAGTCCTTCGCGCTGAGGCCCCCCCGATCGCGACGTTCGTGGCGATCTTTCTGGTGGTGCATGTTTCCCTGGAAGCGCTGCGAATATATGTGGTGCGTGCTGATGCTCGGCGTGATCGCGATGATCCTCCAGGTGGCGTGGAACGCTTGGCCCCTGGGGATATTCGTGACCATGGTGTGGACCGACTTCTTGATTCCGCTCGTCATGGTCACGGTGACCGTGCTGTTTTTCGGCCTCGTCGTCTTCGACTTCGGCCTGGTGTGGGGTTTGTTCGTTGTTTTGCCGAGGCTGCTTTGCCTCATCCCGTGGGTGCGTGTCGTCATGATCATAGTATTGATGGTCCTGAGATTCGTGGTATTGGGGTCGCTGCGGATGTTGCTCGTGGAGTTTTGCCCGATGTTCCTGCGAGTGGTGCCGACCTCCCTCGTGACGAAGGTGGCGTGCGTTTTCCATTTGCAAGTGCTGTTGTACACCTGCCTGGCTCCGGTGTTGCTCGCCGTGGTGGCAGGGGCCACCGGAGTGCTTTCAATTTTCAATAGCTGGGGCTGCACAGGTTTCGCGCGGGGCGCGATGCCCGGAGTCCATCCAGATCTCCATTGAAAGGCTGACCGCGCGTAGTGCCCCCGCTGAAGCCAGCCAGTCTGAGATCGTCAGGAATTCGTGTGTCGGCGCGACGCAGCGTGAGCCGCTGCTGCTGAGGCCGCAAAGTGCCGCCGATATGTTGTTTGCGATTCGTTCTCTTATGCAGAGGTCGCTGTCGGAACTATCTCGACGTTCGCTGTTTTGGATGTGCCGCGCCTCTCTTCCTGAGGCAGTGACCATTGAGCCAGGGAGCCGCGTGTATAATTACATTCTGCAGTTCGTGGTCTGGCCTGCTGGCGTCATGGACGTTGTTTCCCCATGGCCTTCGGGTCCCTGGGGGTCACTGAGGGAGTCGGTATCCTTGATTTCCGGTTGGCCGTAATCGTATCTGTGTTGTTGAATGTATCGTTTGTTTGTTTTCCCTGTTGTCGTTTTTTTGTCGTTCTGCCTCTTGGCATCTTGTCTCCGCTTTCTGTCTCCCTCGCTCGTTTCTTCCCTGCTTTGCCGTTTCTGGGCGTGTTGTCCTGTCCCCTTCGCATCTCTCTTCCTCGCCCTTCATCATGGGTCTTGTGTACACCTTTCCACCGCCCACCACGGAATGGTCGAATCTATGATGACTTCAATATTGCATCGAACAGTGTGCACCGAGGCGGGAAACGCACCCAACAGAGTATCATCACCTTATCATCACCACACCCATCATCATCAACATCATCATCATCATCATGACTATCCTCATGGTCACCACGACCATCATGTCCATTTTCAACCGGAGTATCGTCATCGCTGGCATCGTTCTTCAACCCTCCGTATGTCAACTTCGGCTCTCCATTCACACGTCTCGTGGCTTCATTGGGACACCCACCCAATGCCTAATTGGCTGCGTGTTCGCATGTCACCGCCGCACCAATTTCGGATGACCTTTCACACGTCTCGTGGCCCCAGAGGGAAACCACCGAAGCCCCAATGGCTGCGTTCGCATTGGCACCGCTGCGCCCGTTCTGTCGCCGTTTCGTGGCCCCAGGGGAGCTCCACCGGAGGTTCGTTCCAGCGGCTGCGTCTGCTTGACACCGCCACGCCCATATCGGCACGCCCGTCAAACGCTTCGTGGCCCCCGGAAAACTCTACCGAACCCTCCAACGGCTGCGTTCGCATGGCACCGCCGCGCCCCTTCGGGCATACCCTTCGCACGCTTCGTGACCTTGTACGGTGCCCCACCGAAGGTTCCAGTGGCTGCGTTCGCTGGCACCGCCGCGCGCCGCAGTCTTGTATAGTCTGATTGGTTGTAGACTGCAGGTTAAGTGGGAGGGGGTGTGGGCTCAGGTAGCCATTTTGGGTCCGTAGCGTTCGGCTCTGGCCGACGCGCGGGTGTTCCAGGGGGCCGCGGGGCGGCCATAACCACAGCCGTGCTAGTCCGCGGACTAGGTAGCGCGCCTGTGGTGCCATGGCTGTGGGCTTCCTGGGGGCGCACCTGATGATCTTGGTTACGGGCGGCGCTCTCACGGTCCAAGGGGCACTTGGCTGGCTGCCGTTCGGGCGCGGGGGACAGGAGGTCCCAGCGCCGACGCCGCCAGCCCTGCCCGGGCCGACAGCGCTGCCGGCAGGCGGTGGGGGGCGAGGCAAGGGGCGAGGACCGCCCGCCAAGCCCGCGCCTGCAGGGGGAAAGGGGCGAGGGCCGCAGGCCAAGCCCCCGGGGACGCCGGGCGTCCCACCGCCGCCGCGGTCAGGGTCGACTACAACGACCACGACCGCGGGCATCGGGCGCGTAGGCGAGGGCGAGCCCACGGGCAGCCCAGCTACGCCGGCGTACGGAGGTAACAACGAGCCCACGGGCGCGCCTGGGCAGCCGTCCGCCCCGGGAAACCGGACGGGCGATGGTGAGCCTGACCTGCCGCGTGGGCTGGACGGGTATTGGGGGTGGAGTGGTTGGGTCCCGCACCTGCCCCATTGGTGGGCTGGCCGGAACGTACCCCCACCGCCGCCGCCGCCACCTACCCCGCCCCCGGAGGCGGGGCCGGGTCCCGGTTGGGGCTTCGCAGCCTGGGTCTTCGAGTTCGTGGGCTACGGAGCGTGGGTAAGCTCCCCCGACCACCCGGGCACGATCCGCACGAGTGGCGGATGGATTGGATCCGCCGTCGACCGCCTGGGCGTTAAGATGCTCGGGTACTGGTGGGAGACCGCGGTCCTATGCTTTGCCCTAGGCATCTTCACGTTCGTGTTGGGTGCCCTGGCCTTCATCGTCAACACCGCAGCCCAGCCTATGCTGTGGGCAGCCGGGGGACTCCGCTGGGCGTGGTACCAGATTACCCGGTGCTGCCAGCGACGCGGAGGCGATGGGCCCGGCGCCCATCTTCCCCCACCCCCTCCGACTCCCTTGCTGGTGCGCTGGCGCGGGCCGGGCTTGGGCGGCGTGGTGGAGACGGAGTTCTATACAAAGGGGGTCCGCGGCCGAGGGACCAATCGGGCGTACAACCACGTGCTTCTGCGCAAGCACGGGCAGGTGGCCCGCATCAGCTGCAACTTCGCGGACCGGTACCGACTGGACCGCCACGGGCTCAACATCAAGATCGGGCAGGTCCTGGGGTGCACCAGTCGCAAGTGGCGGCTGAACCTCGAGGAGACAGGGAATGTGCATCTATGTCGTGCCGTCGAGTGCGCCTCCTGTCCAGTGGCGCATCCCATGCACGTCGACCAGTACGCGGCCATTGACCACACACAGATCGTGGACTTGGCTGAGCACGGAAAGGGCCACGGCCTGCCGGGCAGTCGGCGTGGGACTCCGGAAGGTATTCGGGGTCGTCAAGTGGCTGCTTTGCTCACCCTGGTCGGTTCTCGGATGGCTGTGCCGGGGCCGGCCGGAGCCCCGCTACATCACCGACGCCACGGGCTATCGCCGCCTGGACATCGATTCGGAGAGCGAGGTGGAGGCGGAGGAGCGCCCCTGCCAAGCCGCACAAGTTGGGGTGCAGCTCGCGGGTGGCGCACGCCCCCTCCAGCCGGAGGGGTGCGGCGACCGAGGGATGCAGGAGGCTACTGTTCTGCTACAGGAGGACGCGGAGGTGTCGGACGTCCCCCGGCCGGGGCATTGTCTCAATGCACAGGTGCACCTCTGCGCCCACCATGCGCAGAAGTATCGGTCTACCCTGATCGGCCGCAAGTGCAGCCTCCCCACTTGTCTCCGCATGGCGAAGGGTAGCTGCGGGGGGGGCCCGATGTGCGGGGAACATCTCCGACGGGACGAGGGTCACACCGTGCGCGTCGAAGCGACGGTCCAACCTGGGATTCTCGGGGGCCTGCGCCGCCGCATGCGGGCGCGGGCTCCAAGCCCCGCCAGGGCGCGCGATTGGACCGCGCACGCTGCCGATGGGGTTGGCATAGCGCCCGGGCCGGTCTACCCCCCGCCTCTACCTCCCCCCGCTGCACCGCCACCGCCCGCCGTGGCCCCATCTGTCGATGTGGAGCCCGCGGGGGCGCAGGCCCTAGCCTCTGGGCCGCAGCCGCGTCGCACACGCTCCGCGGAAGCAAGGGCCAGCGGGCGCTCACGGTCTGCCGACCGCGGAGCCCCGGGCGATCGGATCGCCCATCACGGGTGGCTTCAGGAGCCCCTACTCGCGAAGGTCTGCCCGATACTCCCGGGTGACCCCCGGGGAGCCGAGGAGGCGTATGGCGCGCCCCCGGCGAGTCCTTGGTTTATTCTATTGGGAGAATGCGAGGGGATCGACGCACGGGGCACTGGCGGGGACGCCCGACTTATCATCGGGACTAGCCTCGAGGGCGTCAGGGTGGAGGTCCCAGCCAGCGAAGTCGTACGGCACCCCCCTCCGCTGGAGGACGGGCGCTGCCCGATAGATTGGATCAATCGGCTGCTGTACGAGGTCCCCCAAGGGGCTCGGGAAGTGGGGTTGCGTGTCATCGCCCACCACATCCCGCAGGATCTGCTGGCGATGTTACGCCAGGAGCAGCGGGACGGTGTGGACGTGGAAAGCGCGAGCGGCTGGAGGCGGCGCTACCTGACGAACACGGAGCGCCAGCAGCTGCAGCACGACCCGGTGCGCACACTCGGCCACCATCGGCGGGGCGGCGCGCAGGGGGCGCAGCCTGCGCCCGGGATGGAGGGCTTGCCCCGCCCAGCCCCCGCGGCGGCACCGTCGCGCTTGGCGGCGGCCGCCGCGGGCGTGAGCGAGGATGCTGAGGAGCCTGACCCACTCGAAATGTTCATGGATTCCTTGCGAGCCGAGGATCTCAAAGGGCGGGGGGGCCAAGCGGCGGCCCCCAGTGCATTAGGTATGGCCGCGGACCTGCTCGGGGTTCCGCTTGATCAGGCGGAACGGCAGCTGCGGCGGAGGGTCGCACAGGTGGCAGCGGCGGGCCCACCGGGGTCCGACCTGGAGCGCGCCCTCGCGGATATGGAGGATGCGCAGCTGGAAGCGCGCGCGCGGGAACGTGCTGCGGCCGCCGACAAGGTTCCCCTGCAGGGCAGCCTCTCACGCGAGGGGTCGCGGAGTCGCTCGGCGCGGGGACGGGATCCCAGCCCGAAGCAGGGACCCCGACGCGAGCTCTTCGGGGCCATGCCCCCCATCCAACCCACGGGCCCACGACGGGGCTTGCTGGGTGATCGGGACCTGCTGGCACGCGATGGACGCGGGGGGGCCGCTCGTGGGGCCAATCCGCTCCTCGACGGGGCCTCGGTCCTTGGCCACCTCACTGGCCAGACGCCCCACGGGGGCGGCCTGGGTGGGGAGCGAGCTGGGGGTCCAGACGACGCCGGGGCGGCGGGCGCCCTGGGCGGGCTTACAGCCGAGGCCGAAGCCCAGATCATCGAGCGCCTGGATCGCCAGAACCGCCTCACCGAACGCCACGTCCTCGCCGCCGAGCGGCAGGCGCGGGCCACCGAGGGCGACAAGAAGGCCCGGGGCACCAGGGCAGGGATCGGTCGGGACGAGGAACTTGATCTTTACATAGCCCGGGGATGCAACACCTTCGTGGTTGAGGCCTGCGAGGGGATCACGGGGAAGGAC